ATCAAGTGGCTTACAAACAGCAGAAATTTACTTCTTACAGTTCTGAAGACCGGTAATTTCGAGATCAAGGCACTAGCAGATTCAGTGAGACCCGCTTCCTGGTTCATAGAGCTGTCTTTTCACTGTGTGGAAGTGAAGGGGCAGGGGAAGGATCTCTTTTTATAAAAGCAGTAATCATTCATGAGGACCCCACCTTTGTGACCTAATCACCTCCCAAAGGCCCCACAGTCAAATGCCATTACATTGGGCATTAGGATTTAATCTATGAATTGTTAAGGAACACATTTAGTCTAGCTGACTTCAAAATTTAAAGACACTTAGCTACAAACATGTCGATGATGCTGTGAAAGTCCTGCACTCAATATACCAGCAAATTTGGAAAACTCAGCAGTGGCCACAGGACTGGAAAAGGGAACTTTTCATTCCAATCCCAATGAAAGGAAATGCCAAAGAATGCTCAAACTACGACACAATTGCACTCATCTCACACGCTAGTAAAGTAATGCTCAAAATTCTCCAAGCCAGGCTTCACCAATACATGAACTGTGAACNAAAGAAAGTTGAATGCTGAAGAATTGAGGCTTTTGAACCGTGGTGTTGGAGAAGACTCTTAAGAATCCCTTGGACAGCAAAGAGACCCACCCAGTCCATCTTAAAGGAAATCAGTCCTGAATATTCATTGGAAGGACTGAGGCTGAAGCTGAAACTCCATTCCTTTGGCTACCTGATGTGAAGAACTGACTCATTTGAAAAGACCCTGATGCTGGGAAAGATTGAAGGCAGGAGGAGAAGGGGATGACAGAGGATGAGATGGTTGGATGGCATCACCGACTCGATGGACATGAGTTTGAGTAAACTCCGGGAGTTGGTGATGGACAGGGAGGCCTGGCGTGCTGCAGTCCATGGGGTCGCAAAGAGTCAGACATGACTGAGCAACTGAATTGACTGACGTACAAACAACAGCTATTTGACAAGTAAAGGGGCTAATTACTATACATGGCTACTAGAACCTTCAAATAGGTCTCCCCTGGTGGTTCAGTGGTAAAGAATCCACCTGCCAGTGCAGGAGACACGGGTTTGATCCCTGATCCAAGAAGATCCCATATGCGAAACAGCAATTAAACCCATGTGCCACAGCTATTGAGCCTGTGCTCTAGAGCCTGGGAGTTGCAAATACTGAAGCCCTTGAGCCTTAGAGCCTGAGATTTGCAGCAAAAGTCATCACAATGAGAAGCCTGCCCACTGCAATGAAGAGTAGTCCCCACTCTCTGCAACCAGAGAAAAGCCCACACAGCAATGAAGATCCAGCATAGCCAAAAATAAAAAATTAATGAAGAGTACTGGATTTCTTCCTGAGATGATGAAAACTTTCTAAAATTGACTGTGATGATAGTTGCATACACTTGTCAATATGCTGACAATCACTGAATTGTACACTTGAAAAGGATGTAGTGCATGGTATGTGAATCATATCTCAATAAAACTTTAAAATTTTGTGCAAAGGAAAGAAACCAGTTAATTTCAAAAAAGGTTAGCTAAGCTTACCTTATTGTTTTTTTTTTCAAGAATGTTTGAGGCCTTCCCTGGTGGTCCAGTGGCTAACACTCCGAGATCCCAAGGCCTGGGTTTGATCCCTGGTCAGAGAACTAGATCTCACATGCCACAACTAAGAGATTCCACAGGCTTCAATGAAGATCCCAACTGGTACAACTAAGGCCCAGTGCAGCCAAAGAAATAGATATATAAATAAATACTTTTTAAAAAAGAATGTTTGGCTATAAACTAATTCTTATTTTTCAGTGGGGATAAAAACACAAACACATATCACACCTCATTAACATCTAGTATAGTAGAAATTTGTAGTAAAACTTCAGATCTTTTTGTGTTGTGTGCTAAGTCACTACAGTCATGTCTAACTCTTTGTGACCCAATGAACCTTAGCTCGCCAGGCTCCTCTGTTCATGGGATTCTCCAGGCAAGAATACTGGAGAGGGTCGCTATTCCCTCCCCAGGGGATTTTCCCAATGAAGGATCGAACTCGAGTCTCTCAGACCTCCTGCATTGGCAGGCGGGTTCTCTACCACTAGTGCCATCTGGGAAGATCTTTTTGGATAATGTTAAATACTTAAATGTAGGAAACTTTCCTTTAAGGAAGGTTAAAACTTCCCTCACCTACACCAGTGATATGCACTCGAGTTAATGTTCTTTGTGACTGGAGAAACCACAAAAAAAGATTGTGTTAATAAGTTAAGCAAAATGCACTCTCCCAGGGCAGGGGAAAATAGCATTCTCTACTCAAAAGAGCCCTGTCAATTATTATTGGGTGATTATACGTACATTTTACAAGCAAGCTAATGTATCATGAGCTGTAGGCATAATTTTTATGTAAGGTCCCCTGCGATCTAAAAATGATTGTAAAAAATAAAAATAATTGTAAGAGTTCCTTTGGAATAAAAAGACTGGAAAAGATTGCTCTGTAGTTACAATTTATGCTTTCATTTTTTCTTTACAAAAATATCACCAAATACATTTGCATATTCATATTTCCTTATTTTTCTTACCCAAAGAACAACATTCTGTGCACCAGCCTGTACCTTTTTTCTTTCTCATCGAGCAGTATATCCTGGGATCACTGGATAGAGGTAAGTAGGTATCTTAAACAGCTTGGACTGTCACAACAAAGGCACTTCCCTGGTAGTCCAGTGGCTAAGATGCCATTCTCCCACTGCATGGTGCCTGAGTTTGATCTCTGGTCAGGGAACTAGATCCCACATGCCCCAACTAAGAATTCACTTTCGGCAACTAAAGATTCTGCATGCTGCAAAGAAGATCGAAGATCCTGTGTGCTGCAGCTAAGACCCAGTGCAGCCAAATAGATAAATAAATAAGTATTTTTAAAATACTGTAGACTGGGTGGCTTATACAACAGAAATTAACTTTCTCACAGTTCTAAAGGCTGGGAGTTCAAGATCAAGACACTAGCATGAGTTTCTGATAACTCTGTTAGCCTTCCTGGCTAACAGAAGGCTGCCTGATCACTGTGTCCTCACATGGCAGGGAGAGTAAGCCCTTCAGTATCTTTTCTCATAAGGTCACTAATCCCATAATGAGGGCCACACCCTCATGACCTCATTTAAACCTAATTATCAAAAGGCTCCATCTCCAAATATTAATATTATCACATTGGGGTTAGGGCTACAACATAAGAATTTTGAGGGAAGGAACACAATTTAGATCATAGCAGTGGAGATTGTTCTCATTGCTTTTTACAACTGTATAGTACTCCATTTTCATAGAGGCAATATTCAACCCGTCCTTATTGATAGATATTTGCATTGTTTACAGATAGTGCTGCAATAAACTCCATGTTTGTATGTCATTTCATAGTTTTACCTGTGACTCCAGGTGGCACTAGTGGTAAAGAACCCACCTGCCAATGCAGGAGACATAAGAGATACAGGTTTGATCCCTGTGTGAGAAAGATCCCCTGGAGGAGGGCACACTAACTGACTCCAGTATTCTTGCTTGAGAATCCCATGGACAGAAAAGCCTGTCTAGCTATAGTCTATAGGATCGCAAAGAGCTGGACACAACTGAAGCAACTTAGCAAGCATGCACTCTGTGATAGATTCCTAGGATTGCTAAATCTAAGAGTAAATGCATATTTAATTTTGCTAAATATTGCCAAGTTGCCACCCATTAAGATTATATCACTTTGCATTTCGTGAGTAATGGGCAAGCTTCACTTCCTTTATCTCACCATCAAAGTATGCTGTCAACTTCTGGATTTTGCCAATCTGATAGGGGAGAAATACTATCTCAGGGTAATTTTAACAAGCACTTCCCTTAATAACAAGCATTTCCTTCAATCTTATGAAATAGGCTTAGCATCTTTGCCATTTGCATTTCTTTTTCTACTATGTTTGTATATTTTTCTTGTTTTGAAAATCAGGAACACTTCATATATTAGAAATATTAGCCTTCTGTGATGCAAGCTGTAATACCTTTTCCCTATTTGTCAATTTGTCTTTTGAAAATTTATGGTTCTCTTTCTCTCTGTCTCTTTATCTCTCTAATTTATCTCCCATAAAGCATGTTTATGTCTTTTCAGTGAAAGTTACCAATTTTTTCCTTCAACTTCTTCTGATTTGTGAAATTATGAATGTTTACCCCACTCCCAGGCTATAAAGAAAATGTGCTCAGATTTTCTTCTAGTATTTATGTGTTTTCATTTTTCATACTTAGATCTCTTATTCATTTACCATTTACTCCAGCTTAGCAAAAGAATGAATCTCATGTTACTTTTTTCCATATGGTCTCAATACCATTTGTTAAAAGTTTTTTCCCCACTGATTTGAAATACAACCTTTTCTTGTATGCCAAATTTCCTTTTGCACCTAGGTCTATTTCTGGATTTGTATTCAATTCCAGTGGTCTGTCTGTTCATGTGTCACTTCTATGCTGTTTCAATTATAACATTTAGTTATAAAATTTTAATGTCTTTGAGGGCTAGACTCTACTTTCCTCTTAAGGAATTTTACTAGCAATTCTTGCTTGTTTATTCTTTCCTTTTGGAAGAATAAACTTTGTGTAATAAATTCGTTCAACCCTTCAAAATAAACAATCAAAACCCAATGATAATTTCCACCGAGATCATGACTAGTAAGTACATCACTTAGCTGACAGAGAATTGGCAACTTTACAAACTGAATCTTCCAATCCGAAAGTGAGATGGATCGATTTGTTCCAGTCCACTTTTGTGTCTTTCATGTGTGTTTCATCGATTTTACTCATAGAGGTTTTGCACGTCTTTTAGATCTACAGTCGATATTTTATTTTACTTTTGCTATTTTATTTTACTTTTGCTATTTTAAATGTATCTTATCTTTCATTATATCTTCTGATTGCTTAGTATATACATGAAGGCTACTGATTTCTACATGTTAATTTTATATCATGTTACTTCACTAAATTTTTTTATTGTTTGTGATAGTTTTTTTTTTCAATCCTTTCGGGTGTTCCAACTAAACAATTGTCTACAAAGAGAGATAGGGCTTTTGTTTGTTTGTTGCTGCAAAACATTAATGTTTCCATTTGGTCTAAGGCTTGAGAGAAGATTCCAGGGTGGTTAAAGAGCTGCCCCTGCCTATAGATATAGGATCAGGCTGAAGCTCTGACATCAGGTGGGGAGCAGAGAGACTCCTCAAAGGCTGCTGGGCTCCGGTGACTCCTGGTCTTTCTGGAAGGTAAGACTTTTCAAGAGATACTCTCCCAGTCCAGACTAGGGCTGGACAGCCTGCAGAAATTAGTCAGGTGGTGGTCCAACTTCTTCCAACATGTGAGTTTCCCTTGTTCATCCAGGAAGTGGTTCTCCAGGAAGTCACAGAGATGGGGTGGGGGTTGGGTGGACCAAGCCCACAGTGTGCAAATCCCCACAAGCCTAGTTCAAGTTCTTCTCCAGGGCCATAGAGTCTTCCATGGTGTCCAGGGTTTTACACTTTTCATCCTGAGACAGCTTTTGCAGGTCCTGAAGAGGGTGTAGTCATTGTGCTGATTTTCCCTCTTCTAGAGGCATGAGGTACGCTGGTGCTTCTTCTGGTCAACACTCGGAAGAAGGATCTTCTACCTTCTAGAACCACATCTCTGTGGTCAGAATAGAAGCCCAGAAAGAAGTGGGTATAAGAGGCCAGCAGATGCAGGTTGACCAGGCCATTGACAATGGCCTCCATCTCAGTGGAATAATCTTGATGAAGTTTGGAGCTCCTGATTGGTGGGCAATAAAGGGCTAACATCAGGGTTGGTTGGTTCCAGAGGCAGGGAATGACCAAGAAGATGGTCTTGGACTTGTGGCTGGAGAGGAGGTTGGAGGGTGGTCAGAGTATGGGGTCCTAGGTCAGTTCCCTCCAAACACTGTTGAAACAAGAGACAGATTGATGGGACCACTGGGCACGCTGCTAAATAGAGATCATTTTATCTCTTTCTTTTCAACATTATATTTCTTATCTAATATGCTTGCCCTCATATAATATGTGTTGGCTAATATAGCCAAAATGATGTTAAACCATAATGGAGATAGTAACACTCTTTCTATTCTAATTTCAATATTTCCACAGTAATAAGATAAGACGCTAAATACTGGGTAGTTGTCTTTAAAATCAAGTTTGAATTGTGTCAAGTGCCTTTTTTACATTATCTTGTGGGTTCCCCTGAAAACAGACAAAGGAGTCTGTGCAAATAGCTTTTAGGGAGGGCAATCCCAGGGGAAGAGAGTGAGAAATAAGAGTAAGTAAAACAGATGGAGTTCCTTGGTTGTCCAGTGGTTAAGAACCTGCCTGCAAGTTCAGGAGACATAGGTCTGATCCCTGGCCCGAGAAGATTCCATATGCCCCCAGACAGCTAAGCCTGTGAGTCATGACCACTGAAGACCCCACTCTCTAGAACCCAAGCTCTGCAAGAAGAGAAGCCACCGCAATGAGAAGCTACTCTGCAACACAGGGTAGCCCCTGCTCACTGTAACTGGAGAAAGCCCTCATGCAGCAACAAAGACCCAGCAGAGCCAAAAATAAAGAAATACTTTTAAGTTTAAATATTCACCTGTAGTTTATTTTGGTTTTCTAAATAGACAATCTCATCCATAAACAATAGGATTTAAAACAAACTTTTTAAAATTTTAATTGAAGGCTAATTACTTTACAATATTGTGGTGGTTTTTGCCATACATTCACACGAATCAGCCATGGGTGTCCATGTGTTCCCCATCCTGACCCTCCCTCCCACCTCCCTCCCCATCCCATCCCTCAGGGTCATCCCAGAGCACCAGCCCTGAGCACCCTGTCTCATGCATTGAACCTGGACTGACGATCTATTTCACATATGATAATATACATGTTTCAATGCTATTCTCTCAAATCATCCCACCCTCACCTTCTCCCACAGAGTCCAAAAGTCTGTTCTTTACATCTGTGTCTCTTTTGCTGTCTCGCATATAGGGTCATCATTACCATCTTTCTAAATTCCATATATATGCATTAATATACTGTAACAATAGGATTTTTGTTTCAACCTCAACCCCCAACTCCTTACAACTTTTTGTTCTCACATATTGGCTAGAACTGCCATTGCTGTTTGTTGTTTTTGTTGTTTAGTTGCTAAGTCATGTCCAACTCTTTGTGATGGACGTAGCCTGCCAGTCCCCTCCGTGGATTTCCCAGGTAAGAATACTGCGGTGGGTTGCCATTTCCTTTTCCAGGGAAAAAAATAATTTTTTAAAAAAGAGTAAGTGGAACAGAGAAAGAAGGACAGCTAGTACACGGATGCATTAACAAATTGGTCACCATTATCCCCTGGAAAAGGGAATGGCTACCCCTTCCAGTATGCTTGCCTGGAAAATCCCATGGACAGGAGTCTGGAAGCTGACGGTCCATGGGGTAGCAAAGAGTCGGACACAACTGAGTGACTAATATTTTCACTTTTACTCTCATAGGTAACTAACGCTTGATTCTGTGGGACCATCTGAGAAGCCATATGAAATGTGCTTCAGAACCATTTACCAGGTAAAGAAAGAGAGAAGCTTTTATCCACTGGCTCTTATCCCCCATTGACCAAGATACCTCACACTTCAGGGCTGCACATACATGAGTGCTGAGAAGGTTTCTGCAGGTATCCCATGGCACTATGTCACAAAAACTCTGTAGCAGACAGTAATATTTATTATCTCACAATTTCTGTGGGTCAGAGAGCAGAAGTAATTTAGCTGGGTTGTTCCGGTTCAGTATCTCTCGCATGGTTTCAGTCAGGATATCCACAGACCCTGCAATCACTTGAAGTCTTAATGAGGGTTGGAAGATTCACTTTCAAGATGATTCATTCATGGCTGTTGACAGGAAGCCTCAGTTCCTTATCACATGTGCCTCTCCATTGGTTGTTTATGTGTCTGCTCACAAGATGGCCACTAACTTCCCTGAGAACAAGTGATCCACAAGGGGAGAAAAATTAAGCTCCACCTCCTGAAGCAAAAATATGAATGAATCTGAGGACATATTTTAAAGTCTGCAAATGCCACTAACCTCCCTGAGAACAAATGATCCACACAGGGAGAAAAATTAAGCTCCACCTTTTAAATCAAAAATATGAACAAATCTGTGGATATATTTTAAAGTCCATACACCATCATAATATAGGCCAGTTAGATTAGGACTATCTGGGGACTTCCCTGGTGGTTCAGTGTCTAAGACTCTGAGCTCCAATGTGGGGGTTAGGGGGTAGGAGAGTTGGGGGTCAGAGGCAGTTCAATCTCTGGCCAGAGAGTTAGATCCCACATACTGCAACTAAGAGTCTGAATGCTGCAACAAAAGACCTGTGTTATTGCAACTAAGACCTAGTTAGTTGCAAAATAAAAAGATTAAGATTATCTGAACATCCTGAAGCCCACCACATTGGTCCATCACATCAATAACATCATATTTATTGGATGAAGTGGCAAGTATGTTGGTGCCTTGATAAAAGACACACTCTCCAGAGAATGGGAGATAAATCCTAGGAAGATTCTGGGGGGCCATTACATCAGTAAAGTGTTTAGTGATCTGTTGAGAAGGCAGCACAATACTTGGTAGCTCCTTTGGATTCTGGAGATAGTATGTCTCATCCTGGGGAAACCTGCTCTGACCTGTTTATTTGATCACATGGAGGACTGACAAATTTGAGTGGGGTCCAAAGCAAGAAAGGGCTCTGCAACTATCTGGTTCACATGACATTACAAGTGACTCTGCCATGTCAGCCATGTAATAAAGAAGATTGTGAAAGTAGAGATTACTATAGTGAAAAAAAGATCTATAAGGGGTATAATATGGCAAACCCAAGACAACTATGTGCCACTGAATAAACAGCTCTGGCATGTTCCTGTATCACCATAGAGATGCAACATGTGACTGTGTGACATCACATGGCCAAGTGGACTACTGTGAGCTTGGTTTCTAGAAGACTTACAAAGTTACAAGGTTGAGTAAGCCCAGCAGCAATCCTTTATAAAACTGAAGTATTGAGACTTCCTTGGTGGTCCAGTGGTTAAGAATCCACCTTCCAATGCAGGGGACACAGGTTTGATCCCTGGTCAGGGAACTGAGATTCCACATGCCAAGGGGAAACCAAGCTCGTACACTGCACCTACTCAGCCCACATGCCACAGCTTAGAGAGAAGCCTGTGGGCTGCAACAAAGATCGCACGAGCCCCAGGTAAGACCCGAAACAACCAAAAAAAAATTAATGCTTTTAAAAATTGAAGTATAGCACAACATGGAGGGGCCAAAGACAAAATAATCTGCACATGTAAGTGGTCTAGAACACTATGTCATCGTCCACTGCTGCACTCATGCCTCTTCCTGAGTTTGTTTGCAGGGCGGTGAGACAAAAGTCCAGGACTGACTTGGGTGAACTGTCTGAATATCCTGGTGCAAGCCAAAACTGGGCTGCTAATACCGTACACTCTCACTCAGGGATGATCCTCAAAGAGGATTGAAAGGAAACCCTCCCAAGGGTCAGAGTTTTGGGTGGTACATCTGGTCTTCTTTGTGTGGAAAGACAAATGGCCCAAGGTGAAAATGCATACAGATTTAAAGGCAGTGGCACATTAGATCAAGGACCTGAAAGGAAGAAGATTGGAAGATTGTGGACAAGAGATATATGGAGGTATGTAGATCAATAGCCTGGTAACTTTTTCTGTAAATGGTTAAAGGAAGTATTTTAGACTTACTGGCCATATGGTCACTGTTGCCATTATTCACTCTGCTGTTGTACAAAAGCAGCCATAGGGATGATATGTAAATACATGAGCATGATTTTGTTCCCATATATCTTTTTAAAAAATATATTTATTTATTTGGTTGCATCAGGTCTTAGTTTCAGCATGCAGGATTTTTTTCTTTTTTTTAAGTTGAGCATGCAAATTCTTAGTCGCGGCATGTGGAATCTAGTTCTCTTACCAGGAATCAAACCTGGGCCACCTGCATTGGGGGTGCAGAGTCTTAGCCACTGAACCACCAGGTAAATCCCCTCATAAATCTTTATTTACAAAACAGGCAGTGGGTGGCTTTGGTCTGTGGGCTTTAGTTTGCAAACACCTGGTACTGATGAGCCTAAGGAAGGGGGCAAAGAATGTGAACGTCTTTGTACCACATTTCAGTATCTACCCCCAGAAGAGCCATCAGACAGAACACTTCAATCAGTGGACATCAGTGAACCTCTGTTTTTACCCATTCCAGTGCTGGCACAATCAGCTCAGGGTTGGAATAGTCATTGTGGAAGGTTTGGTGGCTATGAATGAGCCTAAAACATGAGTTTGCATCCACCATTAGCATTACTCCTATGCAATGCCCTGTCTACCAGCAGCAGAGGCCTATGCCAGGTCCCTGAGACAGCACAATTCCTCAAGGAGACCAACCAGCCACTTGGACCCAAGCTGACCATTGGACCCCTCTGGAAGGTACATTGCTTCATCTTGATAGGAATTAACATTTGTTCCAGATTACAGTCTTGCTTTTCTGCCTGCAGTGCCTTCAGAAGCACCCTATCTGATGACTTAAGAGTGACCTGCCAGTAGGCAATTCTGCATAACATCCCCTCTTCACCTCTGACCAAGAAACCTAACTTATAGCAAGGGAGGTGTGGAAATCACTATGTGATAAGGGGACCCACTAATCTCATATAACACATACTACAGCACTCAGAAGTTTCTGGACCCTTAAAGTGGTAGAATAGCATTTTGAAGGTAGAGCTGAGGTACTAGCTTAGAGATGATACCCGACAGGAATGTGACATTGTTTTCCAGGATGCAGTATATACCCTAAATCAATGTTCATTACATAGTACTGTGTCCGCAACAGACAGACTACAGGAGTTTGGAAACCAAGACATGT